ATAATTATTTTTATTTAACTTTTTGCTGTCATGTTTCCTTCATTAAAACTAAAAGTTTTTTAGTCTTATCTTTAAGAAGGACCTTGACATTTTTTCAGTGTTCCTCAGTTTGATTTTGTCTGATGTTGTCTTGTCATTTATACTTTTTTTTCCCAGTTTGCAGTTTGAGGTACATGCACTTGCTGGAAAAGAGAGAAATCACCTCTTGGGATGGCCATGCCACAGTACCTTCTCCTCCATTTTCTTCTCAGGACTTTGGGCACACATACACATGTTCTTGGCATGATTTCCAAGCTGCTGAGTCTGGGACTCGAACTGCACAGTGGGATCCAGCTGCCTTAATCTCCATGCCATCTGCTGGCCCATGATTTATACATTTTTGGCATGAATCTTCCTGAAGTGATGCTCTCTCTCTCTCTGCCGTAATTGTTGTCTTCTTCACCCCTCTTTTTTTTTTTTTTTTTTTTTTTAAGAATTACTTATTTATTGGGACCAGCAGTTAGCATAATAGGTATGTTGCTGAACTCCCATGTAGCCAACCGCGGTTCTAGTCCTGGACCTGGTGGCTTAAAACTCACACCGAGTGCGTGTGTGTGCGTGCTCAAGATCCCGAGAGGAGAATGGAGAAGGGATTGCAGTGTGACCATCCCCCTGGGGGGTGATTTCTCGCTTTCTATCTCTCTGTCTCTCTGTCTGGCAAACGCATGCGCCCTATAGCAAAAACCTCTCAAAAAAAAATTACTTATTTATTTAATTTTATTTGTTATTATTTTTTAATTTGACTAGAGAGAGAGGGAGAGAAAGGTAAAGTGAGAAAGCAAGTCACCAGGTCTGGGACTTGAACCATGGTCAGCCATATGGGAGTCCAGCACTTTAACCACTACACCCCTTGCCAACCCCGATGTTGTGCTCTTCCTAGTGCGTTATTTCAGGAGGTATATGGTGATAATTTATCCAATTACTGGTGATGTTAGCTTACATCACTGGCTAAGATGTGTCTACTAGGTTTCTCCACTATAAGGTTACAGAGTGAAGATGTTATATTAATTAAACCTATTCTGTGATGGGGTAGTAAGTAGGGTGGAGATTCAAGCACTGGATCCCACATGACTGATTCTGCAGTTCAAGTCATGTACCCAGGGGTGTGAAGATCATGCCAGGTGCGTGTGTGCGTGTGCCCAAAATCCCAAGAGGAGACTAGAGGAGAAGGGATTGCATGTGGCCACCCCCCTGCCCCTGAGTGATTTCTTGCCACTCCCTTCTGTCAAACACACATGCACTGTACCAAAAACGAAATAAAACAAAAACAGATCCGATCTTTAGGAAGATTTTTTTTCCCCTGCCAAAATGTGTGTGCGCTCACCAGAGAGGGAGGGAGGAAGGGAAAGTGAGAAATTTATATACCTCTTGTCCTTAAGATAGCATTGGTAGTTGTTTTTGCTGATGTCATCTAAAAAAAGTTTCTGTTAATTTCTTTTTATTTCTGCTAATCTAGCAGATTTGAGTTCTGCTACCCTCTTTACTTGGATTCTTACCAGGGAGGCTGGCCATTTTTTAGCCACCTCCTCAAATACCATAACCCTTCAGTTTTTTTCCCAAGCCAGATTCCAGGAATAATTCTGATTGTAGAAAGCAGACATTCTACTAAAACAGCAAGAAGCTAATAAGTGATCTTCAAGTCTTGCTACTTTATGGTGAAACTTTTTTTTAAAGAGATAAATGGTTTGGGGGAGGATTATGATATTGAACACCTTTTTTAAAAGAATTATTTAACTTCATTTATCCATTTATTTATTTATATTAATTTGCCCAGACAGGGATCGAGTGAAACAGAGACAGAGAGAGAGAGAGAGAAAGAAAGTGAGAAAGCAAGCTGTCAGGCCTGGGGCTCACACCATGGTTGGCCATGATGCTGAACAATTTCTAAATTATTCTGGATCTGTGTTGAAATCTCTGGCCGTTTCTCACAGGTAATGTAAAGAATGGTAGTCTGAGGACCAGCAGATGGCATAATGGCTATGTTGCTGGACTCCCATGTAGTCGACCGCAGTTCAGATCCCGGACCCGGTGGCTTAAACTCACACCGGCCCTGTGTGCATGCGTGCCCAAGATTCCAAGAGGAGAATGAAGGAGAAGGGATTGTGGCATGGCCATGCCCTCTGGAGGATGATTTCTTGCTTTTTGTCTCTGTCCCTCTCTGTCTTTCTGGCGAGTGCACGTGCCCTATAGCAAAAACCTCTCCAAAAAATAAGAATGGTAGTCTGATGAGGTGAATCTTTCTCTGCCTTGTTTGCTCTTCTAGTTATGGGACTCTAGACAAGCTTGTGGACAAAAACCAGGGAACATGGGACTCTTTCCAGGATTGATCAAGGAAGGATATCTGAGATATCTGAAAATATATTATAAAATTTTAAATTAAAAGGATACATGTACAGAGGGTACATGTACTCACCAGAGAGACAAAGAAGGAGAGAAAGATAGCCCTCAAAGGGATATGGTCGTAATTCCTTCCCATTTCTGCATCCATTCAGGATTTGAGGCACAAAAGCACATGTGCCTGGTACATTTTTGAAATCACTGGGTCTGGGACTCAAACTGTGTCTTGTCTGTGGGATCCAGCTCCCTTAACCACTATGCCATGGGGTCAGCCCAATTCACATTTTCTTTTTAAAAAATTTGCCATAGAGGGAACCAGCAGTTAGCGTAATGGCTATGTCGCTGGACTCCCACGTAGTTGACCGCGGTTCGTGTCCCGGACCCGGTGGCTTAAAACTCACGCCGGGCGCGTGTGCGTGCATGCCCAAGATCCCGAGAGGAGAATGGAGGAGAAGGGATTGCGGCGTGACCATCCCCCCTGGGGGGTGATTTCTCGCTTTCTGTCTCTATGTCTCTCTCTGTCTGTCTGGCAAGCGCACACGCCCTACAGTGAAAAGCTCTCCAAAAAAAAAAAAGAAAGAAAGAAAAAAATTTGCCATAGAGTGTGGATGCTGGCCAGAGAGAGACAGAGAGGAAAAGTGATAAAGCACCCCTCATGAAGCATGGTCATGCTACATTCTCCTCTCTATTTCTCCCACCTTTGGGGGTTTGGAGCATGCACACACATGTGCAAAGCATGTTTCTTAAGCCATCAGGTCCAGGACTTGAACTGCATGATTAGCTCTAGGGGATCCAGCTGCCTTAACCACTAGGCAATTATATTTTCTGTTAATGACTTCTAGAGTTTTATTGGAGGAGGCATGGAAATAAATGATTATTGACATTGAGCATCTTTTTCTGTACTTACTGGCTGTTTGTAAATATTCTTTGAAGAAATGCTTTTATTTTCTTGATGGTCTTGTTTACAACACAGTTGTTAGAGCACTTGCTGAAATTCACTTACTCTATGTCTCTAGCTTTCCTTTGATTAACATTCTATTAACAAAGTACAAAAGAAATAACAATAAATACAGTTTGTGTCAGAAAATTGTTTTTGGTTACTTACAGTATACTTGATAATTCTTTAGAAGCTAGAAATGCAGAAATAAATAAGATACCTTTTTCAGGACCAGCAGTTATCATAATGGCTATGTCGCTGGACTCCCATGTGTTCAACCGCAATTCGAGTCCTGGACCCGGTGGCTTAAACAGACGCTGGGCGCATGTGCCCAAGATCTCGAGAGGGGATCACAGCCCAACCGGCCCTGTGGAGGGTGCTCATCTCTTTTCTCTTTCTCATTCTCACGTATGTGCACACAAGTCCTGGACCTGGTGGCTTGAAAATCATTCTGGGTACACGTGTGTAAGTGCCCAATATCCCAGGAAAATGGAGGAGAAGGGATTGCAGCGTGGCTATTCCCCAGGGGGTCATTTTTTACTTTCCCTCTCACTGTCTTTCTCTGTCTCTCTGGCAAGCACACTTGCCCTATGTAAAAAAATAAAAGGAAGGAAGAAAGAAATCTATTCTAAGTACAACATTGGATATATAAATATGGAATGAATAGTATATTAGAGAATTAGTGGTGTTTCCATTTGGATATTTTAGGGCATGTAATCAGTAGAATTCAGAATGACCATGTAATACTATGGGTAAATAAAACTCACTTCAATTTTCTCTTTCACTGTTAAGATTAGAAAAACAAGGACCAGCAGGTCGCATGGTGGTTAAAGTCACTGGGCTTCCTCCTGGCCAACCATGGTTCAAGTCCTGGACCTGGTGAAATCCTTTCTCACTTCCTTCTCTCTCTCTCTGGTCAAATTAGAAAATAATAATAAAAATAAATAAAGTTAAAATAATTCTTATAAAAAAAAAAAGACTAGAGAAACAGAATAACCTAGGTGGTTGTGTTCTATTAATCAAGAAAAGACTTTGACTTAGCATCATTTCCTTTGCTCACCTCTTTTTTTGAGAGGTTTTTGCTATAGGGTGCATGCACTCTTCAGAAAGACAGTGAGACAGAGAGACAGACAGAAAGCGAGAAATCACCCCCGGGGGATGGCCCCGCCGCAATACCTTCTCCTCCATTCTCCTCTCGGGATCTTGGGCACGCACACACACGTGCCCATTGTGACCATGTACACATGTGTGTCCAGTGTGAGTTTAAAGCTACGGGGCTTGGTACTCGAACCTTGATCAACTACATGGTAGTCCAGCGACATAGCCATTACACCAACTGCTGGTCCTCCTTTTCTCACCTCTTACCATTATTGCAGTCCAGTAAAAGAGAGGGCTATCAGGACCAACAGTTGGCATAATGGCTGTGTTGCTGGACTCCCATGTAGTCAACTGCAGTTCGAGTCCCGGACCCGGTGGCTTAAACTCGTGTCAGGCATGTGTGCCTGCATGCCCAAGATCCTGAGAGGAGAATGGAGGAGAGGGGATTGTGGCATGGCCATCCTCCCTGGAGGGGGATCTCTCGCTTTCTGTCTCTCTGTGTCTCTCTGTCTTTCTGGTGAGCGTGTGCGCCATATAGCAAAAACCTCTCCAAAAGAAAAAAAAATGACTGTTATGTGTTTCTTTTCAGATGGTCTCTTCCCATGGCGATGTCCATCTGCCACCGTGGCACTGGTATGGCCTTGAGTGCAGGTATGTACGTGCGTTTTTATACATGCATACCCACACACGCATGCACATGCTTCTTTGAAAAACTGCTGTTTCTGTGGCTCTTATCTCTGTCTCCCTCATAGCCCAGCAACTCGATTTGGGGGAATGAGTCCCCTTAAGCTTGATGTTTATTCATTTCTTTAATAATTTTCAGCCCCTTTTCTTAGTAGATATTTAACTTATTCCCTAGTACTTCTTGATGTTAGATATTGCAGTTACAGAGAGTAAGTCAGAAGTGTGATGGACATTTACTGACTGGCTGACTGCTGATGAAACATGGTCCAAGATCAGTCATCATGCTAAGCGTAGGTGGTACAGTTCGTAATGTGCTGTTTTGCAGTGCTGGAAGCCACCTGACTGATCCCTGGTTCAGGTCCCCAAGTCAGCCTGAAAATTTGGGTGCATACAGCACCCAAAATCCAGGAGCTGGAGGGCTGGGTAAAGTGACTTGCAGTCTGACAAGACCTTGTCAAAGGTGCTGTCTCTCTCTCTCTCATGCCTGTGCATTCACTCTCTATCATTAAAGAAACGGGTGGGGTGGGACGACAGATCACGGGGTGGTGGTTAGGGACACTGGACTCCCACATGGCTGACCGCGGTTCAAGTCCCGGACCTGGCGGCTTGCTACCTCACCTTTCCTCCCTCCCTCTCCCCCCCCCTCTGTCTCTGTCCCTCTCAGCTCTAATTTCAATGAATAAGTAATTTTCAAAAGAGAGATCAGGCTATATGATGGTGGTCCCATACGGGAAGAGTCCTGGTTCTGGTTCAGAGACCTCTCTGAGTACGCCTGGCACTTGCTTCCCCATGACTCGGGTCTAGCTGCAAGCTAGGGTTGCATTGTGGTATCAAGACCTTTTGGGGGTGCTGTCTATCTGTCTGTCTTACTTATGGAAGTTATAAGTAAACTAAAATAAAACAAAAAAATAGAAAACAAAATCAGTTATCAACCTCATTCTTCCAAAACATCGGTTTTAGCACCAATTCCTTGTCACTCGAACTACAGTTGACTACACAGGAGTTTAGTAATGTAACCATTCACTATCTACTAGTCCAGTTTTTTGTTTTGTTTTGTTAAGTTTTAGTTTCAGGACCAGCAGTTAGTGTAATGGCTATGTCGCTAATCTCCCATGTAGTCGACCACCGTCCGAGTCCCGGACCCGGTGGCTTAAACTCACGCTGGGCGCTTGTGCATGCATGCCCAAGATCCCGAGAGGAGAATGGAGGAGAAGGGATTGTGACATGGCCATCCCCCCTGGGGGGTGATATCTCGCTCTCTGTCTCTCTGGCTTTCTAGCAAGCACATGCACCCTATGGCAAAAACCTCTTTAAAAAGTTTTAGTTTGTACTTTAGGGTGGATATGCTTACCAGAGAGAGAGAGAGAAAGTGAGAACTCACCCCTCAAGGGGGATGGCCGCACTGCAGTCATTTCTCCTTCGGTCCTCTCTTGGAATTGTAGGCACACATGTACCTGACGTTTATCTCTGGTGAGTGTACAAACCCTCTGGCAGTTATAACAAAACAAAAATAAGTAATTTTTTTGTTCATTGTCATTCTTTCTTACAGAGTTGTATGTTCTATAAGGACTTAGATTGTACCTGTCTGTATTTTTATCACTCTGCATGGTGCCTAGACTGCAGTAGATAGTCAATACATCTTTGCTTACTGCAGGTGAATTCCACTTCTTTTTCCTGTTAACGTATTTTTATACATTTTGTTCCTAAATTTCTGTTCAGTATATAATCATGTCTTCAAGGCTCTAGAGGTATCTTATTTTGCTCCACTGCATATTGACTGTGATAACTACCTAACTTCAGTTTGTGCATCCCGAGTCTGACAATCCAAAATACAAAATGCTCCAAAATTCAGAACCTTTTGAGCATACATATGATACCACAAGGGGGAAATTCCATGTCTGACCTCATGTGACAGGTTGCAGTCAAAATGCTGCAATTCAGGGCCTAGCCATGGTGATACATGCTGATTGACACTGCTACTGGGCAGACTGAGGATGCCTGACTTTGATTCTCATCCCGTCCTATGAAGATGGGTGTAGTGGTATGTGCCTGTCTTCCCAGCTGCTTGAAAGGCTGAGGTGTGAGGATTGCGACCTATCAAGGTTCTGTCTAAAATAAATAAATAAAAATGATGAAAAACAAAACATTGTTTTTGTTTTGGGCCAGCAGGTGGCATGGTGGCTAAGGCACTGGATTTGCATATGGTGGGCCTTGGTTTAAGTCCCGAACCCGATGACTTAAAACTCATGCTGGGTACATGTGCTTGCATGCCAAAAATCCCAGGAGGAGAATGGAGGAGAAAGGATTGCCGCATGGCCATGCCCCTGGGGAATGGTTTCTCATATTCCCTTTCTCTTTCTGTCTATCTCTGTCTGTGCTCTATAGCAAAAACCTAAATTGTGTGATTATCTTGGTCCCATCTCCAAGATAAATAGGTAGTTATTCCAAAAATCCAAAAACATCTGAAATCCAAAACACTTCTGGTCCTAAGCATTTTGGAGAAGGGATGATCAGCATTTCTTACAGTATCTCAACACTAATACTTCTGTATTGTGTGAATTTCTAGTTTATCTGAAAACTACTTATTTCATTGGAAATAAGAGGTTATAACGTATTAGAGTTGTGATAGTTAACAGAATCAAAATGGAGTTGTTTGTGTCAGCTTGTGTTAAACTCTGACTAAACCGTGCTGGAGAAAGCCCTGAAGGGGCCATTCTGCTGCAAGTATGCCTGATAAGAATGGTCACAAGGGGGACCAGCAGTTGGCATAATGACTGTGTTTTTGGACTCCCATGTAGTCGACCGCAGTTCGAGTCCCGAACCTGGTGGCTTAAACTCACACCAGGCACATGTGTGTGCGTGCCCAAGATCCCGGGAAAAGAATGGAGCAGAAGGGATTGCGGCGTGGCCATCCCCCCTGGGGAGTGCTTTCTTGCTTTCTGTCTCTCTGTCTCTCTGTCTTTCTGGCGAGCGCACGCACCCTATGGCAAAAACCTCTCCAAAAAAATTAAGTAAATAAATAAAGAATGATCACAAGGACTCTTGCAAAGACATCTGCCCAAAGCTTTTGTCCCGCTAATAACAATAATGATGCCAACAGTGGCACCAGTAGCCAAGAGCGGTGTGCCAGGTCACCCTTGCTACCATGGCCAAAACAGTGATGTAATCCCCCTGCACACTTAAGGTTTTTGCTTTTAAAATTGTCTTGAAATCTTAAGACCTCAGTACATCTATCTAGAGCAGCTGAGATCCTGTGGCATCCATGTGATGGTCCTCAACCTTGGCCCAAATAAACTCTTTTGCTTTACTTATTTGGCCTTGTCAACCTTTCTCTGAGGTTCACGGAGTACTGCATAAGTAAATCTGAGTTTATTCTCTACTAGTCTCCTTGAGACATCTGGGGAACTTGTGCTGTCTCCTGGTAAATGCTGTCAAGCTGTTGTGTATCTGCAGGAGGAACAGATGCAGTGGAAGAGTGGTGGAGTGCTTTCCAAAAGAAATGCTCAGATGAGCTGTTCACACATTAACGAGCTGTCTGCTCCAAGCTGATCGCCTAAGCCCTTTGCTGGCAAGGGAAAATGAGCTTAGGACTTTGAATAACATAAAACTCTCTGTATGTGCAGACTCTTTTCTCCTGTGGATGGTGCCCTGGTCTGTCTTTAACCTCATTCTAGGTATAGAGAAAATATCTTGCCTAGAATCTGTATGAGGTCATATACCTGACAGACAGAAACCCCACCATTTTACCTCATGTGAAGCTCTAAGCCCCTCTCTTACTTATGATTCTTTAGCTCGGGAGCAAAGCCCAAGTTTTATTCATCACATTGAGCATCATTACCAGCTTGCCAGGACACAGCCCATTTGTGTGGCATGGAGCAGATGGCAGCCCTTGGGTCCTAGGATGTAATGTGCTCTTATTCCAGAAGTTTGGTGCCACATCGAGCTATCAGGGGAGGAGTGGGGATTTCTTTTGACTTTTGTTGTGGTGAAGGGACGGTGGTATTAGAAAAGTGCCCTTCCTTCTGGTTTTCTTACTGTACTTCCTGGCCCCTCCTAGGCTTCTATAGACAGTTTTTGCTACAGTGGTCATCAGCACTGCTGGTGATGGTAGTTTAGGACGCTTTTTTTAAAAAAATTATTTATTTATTCATTTATTTTAATTTGACTAGAGAGAGACACAGAGAGAGAGAGAGGGAAAGTGAGAAAACAAGTCACCAAGTCCAGGACTCGAACCGTGGTCATTCATGTGGGAGTGTCCAGCGCCTTAACCACTACACCACCTACTAGTCCCTGTAGGAATCTTGTATTTAGCGAGCTCTCTTAAGACTTTGGCATGGATTATCTGAAGCTGTCTCTGCTTTTCACAATCATATATATGTGTATGTGTATATTTAACTGTTATTAATTGATAAGTAAGGATAGGAATCTATCTAAGACCTGTCATTGTCATTCCTATGCTATTATTACTTTGATCGGTAAAGAGATGGTAGTATCCACGTGTAAGGATGATTATATCCCTTAGGAATCCATGCTGCTGATAGTGAACTGATAACTTTCTGAGACCAGCAATTGGCGTAATGGCTATGTTGCTGGACTCCCACGTAGTCAACCGTGGTTCGAGTCCCAGACCGGTGGCTTAAACTCACTCTGGTTGTGTGTGCATGCTTGCCCAAGATCCCCAGAGAAGGGATTGCAGTGTGGCCATCCCCCCAGGGGGTGATTTCTCACTTTCTGTCTCTCTCTCTCTCTCTGTCTGTGTCTTTCTGGCGGGCGCATGCACTCTATAGCAAAAACCTCTCCCCCAAAAAAATAAGTCAGTAAAGACAACTTTCAAGATTAAGCCATTCTTTTCTTCTAAAAATTATTTATTTGACTTTATTATTTTTAAAATTTTGCTATAGGGTACCAGAGAGAGAGAGGGAAAGTGATAAAGCAAGCCATCAGGTCCAGGCCTCAAACTGTGGTCA